GCAGTAAGGACTTGTTCCTCTTTTTGGTTCCCCCCTTCAGGGGGAAGGAATTATAGAAGACAGTAGAAGGGAAGTGCAGGCTAATGAATCAAGCCAAAGCCGAGGAGCGAACATCTATTTGGGCAGTTATACTCTACCTCTATTATTGTTGAGGACAGCTGTGCATTAATGAAGTTGGATCCGTTATGGTGTCACAATACTTTATACAGTAAGAAGTTACTGATTAACTTTACCTTCCTTGTGAATGTTTGCACAAGGGATGTGATCCACAGCCACACCTGGGGAGTATTATACTAAACATTGTCTGTGTAAATCTGGATGTTGAGCCCAGAAAGGAATGAGGGGCCAGTGTGTGGATACCCTGAACAGGCATAGCCAGGAGGGTGGAGGGGTCCAGTCTTCAACCATCATCTTCACACAGGGAAACACAATCTGGGCTAAGAAGAATGTTTGATCTGGAAGTCGGTACAACCCGTAAGGTGACCTTGCTGCTTGCTGTGGCCTTGCATGAGACATTCTGAAACCTGCCTACAAGCTGATGTCACTCTGCCGGTCCAGACTCTGGAGAGATCCTGACTTTAATGTCAGGTTCCACCCAAATGCCTGAGCCATCTGCTTCTGCCCCCTCCACAGCCCAGCACTCCAAAGAGTGCTGGAGGGGCAGAGCAGAGAGTCAGTGACTGACAGTCACTGTCTCTCTGCTCACTGAAGACCAATAACTAAGCAATCAGTGATCTTTGATCACTCAGTTCTCAGGGTAGAGCCAGCGGGGGACAGATGCAGCATCGGATCAATGTTGCATCCACTTAGGTATTTATGTCTGTTTTTTCCAAAACTTCACTTTTAAAGCCAAATTTAAGCCTTAATTTAAAAAAAACAAAAAAAAAAACAAATTGCCAACACTTTTTAAAAGAAAAAAAAACAGCTTTATTCACCTTGCTCCAAGGTCCAGTGGCGCACCCCTCTGGGTTAAATGGTGAGCCCAGGACAGCACAGGACACCCTGTTGTGTGCTTTGTCATACCGGCCTGGGCTTACAGGAGAAAGTTGCAGAGAACCCACTGTCAAGGAAAGAAGAGGAGAATGAGGACCTGTGACGTCATATGTGGCGTGAATGCACAGAAGACACTGTATGTATGTACAAAAAGAGGGGCCTTTGGCTGCTGCATGGTGGAGGAGTGGGGAGGCTGCTACACTGGAATTTGGCTTTAAAAGGAGCAATAAGTGCCTCATGGTCATGGACAAATTGGCATCTTGTGGGACATTGAGGCCAGGAACCCAGGGATGCAGCTATCCACCAGTGTTGGAAAATAATCACATAAGGAACCATTAGCTGAATGAAGCTTGTGTCCAGGGAGGCTCATCTGTCATCATCCCAACCCTTATGCGATTATTCCTGAACGCTGGTGGACAGCTGTGACTGCTGACAGCCTGTCATTGCTTCGTAAGACTTCCCAGCTGTGGCTGTCCACACACAACCTGGGCTCCTGGCCACAGTCTTCTGCAATATGCTTGTCATACCATAGCCAATTTGGTTGTGTGGATTAGGCCTTAAAGAGGCAAACAGCATATGCTATTTGCCTCTCTCTATTACTCAAACTTCCAAAGAGCTGTTGGAACACAATAGGTGAGAGGATGAATGGCTTATTTAGTTGTATGTGTAAATCTCAGCTTGAGCTATTGTGCTCTTTAAACAAATAGATTTTTTTTTTCAGCAAAGCAGTTGTTTGTTGCGAAAGGGAGTTTAGAGCTCCAACTGCTAGCTTGAAATTAAAACACAAAATGAGAAATTCATAAAAAGTGTCATAGATGCTCACTGGATTGCGATAGTGTAACAAATGGCACAACATATGACAGATTCATGTATGTGATAGAACAGCAATGGGCAAACTACGGCCCGGCGGACCTTTTAATCTGGCCCGCGAAGCGTGATACTGTCAGGATGGCTGTCAGGATGTGTGTAGGCGGGGCAGCGTGACGAACGTGAGGGGAGCTAGGATCCTCTCACAGTCCACCCTGAAGACCGGAATGGCGCGGGAACACGGCGAGAGGAACGCGCGGAGCAAAGGTAAGTAAATTGAATTACTATAGGGGGGATGAATTACTATATGGGGGATGAATTACTATGGGGGGTGAATTACTATATGGGGGATGAATTACTATGGGGATGAATTGCTATATGGGGGATTAATTACTATGGGGGATGAATTACTATGGGGGATGAATTACTATATGGGGGATGAATTAATATGGGGGATGAATTACTATATGGGGGATGAATTACTATGGGGGATGAATTACTATGGGGGATGAATTACTATATGGGGGATGAATTACTATATGGGGGATGAATTACTATGGGGGATGAATTACTATATGGGGGATGAATTACTATGGGGGATGAATTACTATGGGGGATGAATTACTATATGGGGGATGAATTACTATGGGGGATGAATTGCTATATGGGGGATTAATTACTATGGGGGATGAATTACTATGGGGGATGAATTACTATGGGGGATGAATTACTATATGGGGGGATGAATTAATATGGGGGATGAATTACTATATGGGGGATGAATTACTATGGGGGATGAATTACTATGGGGGATGAATTACTATATGGGGGATGAATTACTATATGGGGGATGAATTACTATGGGGGATGAATTACTATATGGGGGATGAATTACTATGGGGGATGAATTACTATGGGGGATGAATTACTATATGGGGGATTAATTACTATGGGGGATGAATTACTATGGGGGATTAATTACTATGCTTACTATGGGGGAATATTACTATACTTACTATGGATGACACATACACATCATTCATCTACTCTTGGTCCGGCCCCTGGGTCCAATATATAAACCCATTGCGGCCCTCAAGTCAAAAAGTTTGCCCACCCCTGTGATAGAACCTGTTGGAGAATTGTCTCAGAAGTCCGTGACACAAGACAGTTACTCCAACATGGAAGAAGTCTTATTTGCCTCCACTTTCCTTATCACCAAAATGGTGGTATTTCTGTATGAATTTGTCGCAACAATAAAGATGGACAGTAAAATAAGAACTTGTTGCACAAATACGAATTGCACAAAGTTTCATGAATTTGGTGCAAGGTTTCTGACTACATCCACACTGCCAAAAATGTGTTGCAAATGTGCATTTGAATTGCCCTCAAAATATCCAGTGCAGTATTTCATATTTACCCAAACATAATAAATTAGGAAAATACGTTTTATATGCAAAATCACTAGCAACCAGAAATCAAAGCCCTGCCCCACTGGGGTGGAACAAGCAGCAAATTAAAGTCAGAGAAAAGTTGGAGTTGACTATCTCTAACTCCGGGCCAATGAGTCAGATAGCACTGAAGCTGTTGGATCAGCAACACAGCCAGGGATCTACAAGTTTGAGAAGGATAGTTGGGGATGAGTAAAATTAATAGTTTTCTTTCTAGCAAAAATTGGGGCAAAATTAGGAGATACATTTGGCAAATTTTGGTGAAATGTATGCCCACCACCAAAAAAACGCCCTAAATCGGTCAAGAAAGACTGATTTAAGGAGTGTTTTGGGGGTGGGCATACATTTCACCAAAATTTGCCAAATGTATCTCCTAATTTTTGCCCCAATTTTTGCCAGAAAGAAAACTCTTAATTTTGCTCATCCCCAACTATCCTTCTCAAACTTGTAGATCCCTGGCTGTGTTGCTGATCCAACAGCTTCAGTGCTATCTGAATCATTGACACGGAGTTAGAGATGGTTCAGAGGAACCTTTGATAGAAATTTCAGGTCTTGAGGAACCCTGCCATAATTAATTTATACTGAGTCAGTGAGAAGAATGCCCCTTTATATTGGTGGTCAATGGGAAGAATGCTCTACCAAATGGCATTGGACCCAAATGTATTCAAGCACCATCAGATAGTAGGTCTATAATCCACAGCTCAAGGAATCCTTAGCAACTTCTGTAGGAACCCTAGTTGAGAACAGCTCTCTAAATATTTAAAAATATAGGGTAATCTTTTTTTTCCAAACAAATTTCACCTAAAATCATAGATTATATCAATAAATCGTTGGGTAATAAAATAATTGCATCAACTTTGTTTTTAGTCAATTTACAGCATTAAGAAAGATTGGAAGAGAGCCCAAGACGCACAGCTACTAAGTCCAGATGATGTTTGTGAGAGAATCTTTCAACTGGTGGATGAAAATGGAGATGGTAAGAGCTTGCCAAAGTTCAGCTTTTACACATTCATATTTGTGCATTCTGTACTTTATTATATGTAATTACTCCCTCCACACATTTTCATGCTTTGCTGTGCCCCTCCCATTTTTAAAAATATAAGAAAATTGGAAGATATTGCACACAAGTCCCTGTATGGGAGACATCAGGAAACCTGTATAGTTAATTGCAACTGAACATTTTTGTTTTTGGGTTTAGATACTTATAATCTCACGCTTAAATTTACCCTTAAATATTAATCTAAACCCCTAAAGCCAGAGGCTTCCTTAGGGTTGGTGTCACCCGGTGCAGTAACATGTGGTGTCACTGGAGAGGAAGGAGTGGTGCCAATGTAGCGGTAAAATGAGTATCCCGTAAAGATATATAAAGATATATATCCGCTGAAACAACTGCGCATGTGCCGGTTTCAGGCCGAAGAAGCCGATCTCAGACTTTAGCACAGAGCTGCCACAGTTAACCCCTTACAGGCTGCAAACCGCTGAAGCTGATCCCACATATCACTATGGGTTGCAAGATCAGTTAACCCCGTATAGGTTGAACCCGACTTATAGGTTGAAAATGGCTTTTAGTAGCTACAGTACATGGTTTGTTTTACTTCTTTTACATTATTCTACTTTGTTTTGTCCATCCTTTAGTTCTCTCTGTATGTTTTTTTACTCTGATCTTTTATATTGGATCTATTGGAAAAAAAATTTCAGTGGCAGGAAGGAGATTGTAGGAAGCACAAACGTGGCAGAACTGATATGTAATAGCTGTGTTCTTTTTCTGTCTCATATAATATGTCTCAAGTCTATGACTGTTTCCTGAGACATTTACCCATCAACTTCTAAAGCATGTGCGGAGTCCTGTAGCATGTCCACAGTCCTTAACCAGCTCTTGTAGCATACCTGTAGTCTCTGACATTATCCTGTAGCACACCCACAGTTTCAGACTAACTCCTGTAGCATGTCCACCATCTATTGTAGCATGGCTGTAGTCTCTGACCATCTCCTGTAGTATGTGTCATAGTCTCTGACCATCTCCTGTTGCATATCAATAGTCTCTGAACATCTTTAATAGCATGGCTATAGTCTCTGATCATTGCCTCTATCATGTCTGCAGTCTCTGACCATCTCCTGTAGCATGCCTGTAATCTCTGACCATTTCCTGTAGCACATTCATAGTCTCTGGCCATCTCCTGTAGCATGTTCACAGGCTCTGACCATCTCCTGTAGCATGCCTGTAATCTCTGACCATTTCCTGTAGCACATTCATAGTCTTTGGCCATCTCCTGTAGCATGTTGACAGGCTCTGACCATCTCCTTTAGCATGCCTGTAATCTTTGACCATCTCCTGTAGCATGCCTGTAATCTCTGACCATCTCCTGTAGCACGTTTATAGTCTCTGGCATCTGCATCTCCTGTAGCATGGTAACAATCTCTGGCAATCTCCTGTAGCATGTTCAAGGCTCTGACCATCTCTTGTAGAATGCCTGTAATCTCTGACCATCTCCTGTAGCGCGTTCATAGTCTCTGGCCATCTCCTGTAGCATGTTCACAGGCTCTGACTATCTCTTGTAGAATGCCTGTAATCTCTGAACATCTCCTGTAGCATGTTAACAAACTCTGGCAATCTCCTGTAGCATGTTCAAGGCTCTGACCATCTCTTGTAGAATGCCTGTAATCTCTGACCATCTTCTGTAGCACATTCATAGTCTTTGACCATCTCCTGTAGCATGTTCACAGGCTCTGACCATCTTCTGTAGCATGCCTGTAATCTCTGACCATTTCCTGTAGCACATTCATAGTCTTTTTCCATCTCCTGTAGCATGTTCACAGGCTCTGACCATCTCCTTTAGCATGCCTGTAATCTCTGACCATCTCCTGTAGCACGTTCATAGTCTCTGGCCATCTCCTGTATCATGTTCACAGGCTTTGACCATCTCGTGTAGAATGCCTGTAATCTCTGACCATCTCCTGTAGCATGTTAACAATCTCTGGCAATCTCCTGTAGCATGTTCAAAGCTCTGACCATCTCTTGTAGAATGCCTGTAGCTTCTCACAGCTTTCTGTAACAATACATTCACTGAATGGTAATGTCAGGGGAAGCATTTAAGGCTCCCTATATCAAGCTGACCACCAATGCCCTACAGTGTATCCAAACCCAAGAATATTAATGTAATACTGTATATTGGTGGCTGCATTAGATTACATTTTTGGGCTTTTTGTTCCCTTTATTTTAACCTGGTGACCCAGCCAGTAACACATTTTCCTGTACTAAGGTGACCATGCTCAGTCACTGTACTGTGTCTTTAGAGAAGCTATGTTGTCCCCCTAAGACAGGCAATGTCTACAGAACACCTCCCCTGTCTTTATCTACATAACATAGAGGGCAGGAGTTCTGAAGTTCACAAAGTTATCTGGGAGCCAGGTAACTGATGTAACGCCCTCCAGGTTAGCCGAATAGTTTTTTGCAAGATAGAGGCCAGGTAGCAGCATGGGGTGAGCCAGCCTGAGGGTGGGGCAGTGAGTTCACTTCAGGACAGGCTGGGAGGTTCTACAGGTCAGGGCTTCTGGAACCCTTCCAGAAACTGGAGAAGTTTCTGCTACAGGGGAGGAGGCCCAGATCTGCATGTATGAGGGACCTTGGCCAATCCCCTGGCAGGAGACTGGGCATGGTGACCAGGGCAACCCTTAAAGATGACAGAGCCTGGTGAGAGAGGGGAGCTGAGTTGAAGATGGATTGAAAGAAATCTGGAGTGTGGAGTCTGGGAGGGGGTCCCAGGGAGGGGAGCCTACCTACAGGCTGGTTGCTGGACGGATCTCCACTTCTTAAAGTCTCCTGGAGAGGACATCTTAAGCAGCAGGGAAGGAGTTAGCCCAGCGAAAGGCCTGAAAGCAACTACCAACCCACCATGCTGACAGGATAGGACAGTGTGAGTATTTCTACACCCCAGGGGTGGACTGACCATTTGGAAACTTGGGCACTGCCCGAGGGCCCAGGGTCAGTAAGGGGCCCCATGAGATACCCCTGGTACCTTTTTCATAGGGTTTTTAGAGTTTGGGCAAGGACACAGGGGCCCCATGATCCCCTATTGCCCGAGGGCCCCATGAGTTGTCAGTCCGCCCCTGCTACACCCCCTGGGCCCGATAAGGGGAGAGGGCAGTCAGGTGCAATACCCAACTAGTGTTCATCTGGGACTGCTTAACTTTAAGCTCTTGGGACCCCCTTGCTCAGGGATACCCTCAGCACAGTTGGGTGACGGGGAGGATTTATCCGGGGTCTAAGGAGGTACACCAAAAAAGGGACAGTGCTATATTTTTGCCAGTCCACCTTTTTTGTATATAGTTGCTAAGAAATTTGTCCTCGAGTTCTACAGTTCCTCGGGCTTCCCATATACCCCCTAAACCCCACCTAATTTGTTAACCCCTAAATAAAAACAACTAAAAACCAGCACGAGGACTGTTTACTAAGTCTGAAGGTACAAGTTTGAAAAATTGCCTGGCTGTGCAGAGCATAGGGGGACCCAAATCTAACTCAGCGGCTCTTACGGGAAGTAGTGCTAATGGGTTATAAAAAATACATACAATAAAAATAAAACAAATACGAGAAGTTCATTGTCCAGGTTTACATATACTTGAACTCTGAACAGAGGTCGGCATTTCTACAATCATGGTAATATAAGTTATGACAGCATTTAAAGTTCTGTTTTCACTGATAAGACTACCGTGTCACCAATACCAAACATCCATAAAAATATTCAGTATGCTGCAATATGGCAAAAGTAGTAGTGCCTACATGTAGTACCCAAAAGGATCTGTGCCGAAAAACCTTGTCAGTGGAAAAACATACCTGAATCAAATGGTCGGCAAAAAAATAACAATTTTTTTCATGGTTTTCTTTTTCAGGCCAACTCACTTTACATGAGTTTGTGGAAGGAGCAAAAAAGGACATATGGGTTTCAAAGATGTTACAACTGGATACTAATCCCTGTTCCTGGTTTATGGAGCAAAGGAGGAAAAGTGCATTGTTTTAGAGAGAAGACATCTGACCTATTCTCAAATGCATAAAGCTGGCCACTTATGTTACAATCTGATTGTGCAATCTCCCTTAGGCCTGTTTCACACAGGCTTCAGCTTGTATAAGGGCAGTGTGAACAGCAAGCTTTGACAAAGCATTTGCAGGGCTTTCAGCAAATTTAGTTGAATCTTTTAAAGTATCATTCAACTTCTGAACACAGAATCTAAAGGGAGAGCTGATTGGCACTTTAACCGCTTCCGTGCCGCCCTATAGCAGAAATACGTATATGTATATATATATATGTGATTTTGCAGCTCCGGGTAGGGGGCACATGCGTGACCTACCCGCGTCGCTAATCGCGGCCTCGGCTGTCAATCACCAGTGATTCCCCACCGGTACCCGCTGATCACCGAGTATTACCGATGGGGGAGAGACCTGTATATAAACAATACAGATCTCTCCCCTGTCTGCTCCTGCACCCTGCTTTGTATTGCTCTGCATAGCACAGCCATACAAAGCAGTGTGCTTACAGTGGAAAGCACTCACAAAGCACACAGTGAAACAGCACACAGTTAACCCTTTGATCGCCCCACATGTTAACCCCTTCCTGCCCAGTGCCATTAGTACAGTGTCAGTGCTTTTTATTAGTACTGATCACTGAATTGGTGTCACTGGGGATGTCAATGACACCAAGTCCATTCCCCCCCAGTGTCAGAATGCCCGCCGCAGTCCCGCTATAAGTCGCTGATCGCTGCCATTACTAGTAAAAAAAATGTTAAAAAATAATTTCACTATATATACTGCCATTTGTAGACGCTATAAATTGCATGTTATTCAATTAATTTACATGTATTGGGATTTTTTTCAGCAAAGACATGTCGCAGAATACATTTTGGCCTAAATTTATGACGAAATTTGATGTTTAAAATAATTTTACTTGACATGTTTAATAGCAAAAAGTAAAAAATATTGTTCTTTTTCAAAATTGTCGGTCTTTTTTTGTTTATCGCGCAAAAAATAAAAAATGCACTGGCGATCAAATACCACTGAAAGAAAGCTCTATTTGTGGGGAAAAAATGACATAAATTTCGTTTGGGTGCAGCGTTGCATGACCGCGCAATTGTCAGTTAAAGTGGACTTACCCTATAGAGATATTGTGTTCAGGGCTGTGTGATGGACAAGGAGCCAATGTAAAGAACATAGGGAGCCATCTAGTGTCCAATTTGTAAACTGCAATTATTAATAGATAAAGAAAAGTCAAACTTGAACATGACATTCTTTGTTTAATGTTTATTTACAGGAATTGTAAACATAAAACAAGAGTAAAGCATGTAAGTACAGAGCCTCAGTACATGTCAAATACAGTCAAATATTGAACTACATACATCACAGACTGTCCAATGTATATTCTAAACAGAGAACACACAGTACCAATGACTCCAGCATATGAGTTAAAGCATTTCCAAACCCAGAAAGGAAAAACAAACAATATATTGCAACTTGCCAATCCTTACACCTGGTGGCTTCATTATTTTTTTAAGCTTTTTTTAACCTTTATTTTCACCTGGCGAAAAAAAAAAAAAACAGATTAGTTTACATCTGTTTTTCATCAGTTTACATCTGTTTCTCTTCAGTTTACATCCCTCCTTTTTTTTTCATCAGTTCAAAGAAATAATGGATCAGTTTACATCCATTTGTTTATCGGTTTACATCCATTTCTCATCAGTTTACATTAATTTTTTTCCATCAGTTTACATCCATTTTTTACATCAGTTTACATTTGTTTTTTTCATCAGTTCAAAGAAAAAATGGATCAGTTTACATCCATTTTATTTTATCAGTTTACATCCATTTCTCATCAATCTACATTCATTTTTTTCCATCAGTTTGCATCCATTTTTTACATCAGTTTACATTTGTTTTTTTCATCAGTTCAAAGAAAAAATGGATCAGTTTACATCCATTTTATTTTATCAGTTTACATCCATTTTCATCAATCTACATTCATTTTTTTTTCCATCAGTTTGCATCCATTTTTCATTAGTTTACATCCCTTTTTTTCAGCAGTTTACATCTGTTTTTCATCAGTTTACATCCATTTTTCATCAGTTTACATTCATTTTTTTTTCCATCAGTTTCCATCCATTTTTCATCAGTTTACATTTTTTTTTTATCAGTTTGCATGCCTTTTTTTCATCAGTTCAAAGAAAAAATGGATCAGTTTACATCCATTTTTTTTTATCAGTTTACATCCATTTTCATCAGTTTACATTCATTTTTTTTCCATCAGTTTACATCCATTTTTCATCAGTTTTTACATCCATTTTTTTCCATCAGTTTGCATGCCTTTTTTTCATCAGTTCAAAGAAAAAATGGATCAGTTTACATCCATTTTTTTATCAGTTTACATCCATTTCTCATCAGTCTACATTCATTTTTTTCCATCAGTTTACATCCATTTTTTATTAGTTTACATCCCTTTTTTTCATAAGTTTACATCTGTTTTTTATCAGTTTACATCCAATTTTCATCAGTTTACATCCATTTTTTTTCCATCAGTTTACATTCGTTTTTCATCAGTTTACATCCATTTTTTTTTTCCATCAGTTTGCATGCCTTTTTTTTCATCAGTTCAAAGAAAAAATGGATCGGTTTACATCCATTTTTTTTATCAGTTTACATCCATTTTTCATCAGTTTACATCCATTTCTTTCCATCAGTTTACATTAGTTTTTCATCAGTTTACATCCATTTTTTCCATCAGTTTGCATGCCTTTTTTTTCATCAGTTCAAGGAAAAACTGGATCAGTTTACATCCATTTCTCATCAGTTTACATTCATTTTTTTCCCATCAATTTACATCCATTTTTCATTAGTTTACATCCCTTTTTTTTCAGCAGTTTACATCTGTTTTTCATCAGTTTACATCCATTTCTCATCAGTCTACATTCATTTTTTTCCCCATCAGTTTACATCCATTTTTCATTAGTTTACATCCATTTCTCATCAGTTTACATCGCTTGTTTTTTTCATCAATTCAAAGAATTCATTTATTCACTGAAGTTTTTTGATTGTTTTATATATTTTTGTACATTTAAGCACTTGTCACTTTGTTTTAGGCGATTAATCTCTAAATTTTGGGGATTCACAGTTATTTTGCACTAGTCTGTGTTTTATCCGTTGATCCCTGCTAGGGATTTTTGGGGGGTTGTCATTGATGTTATTTTGATTTTCCACCACACGGGGTTCAAATTTAGGACCAGTTTGTCATTTCACGTTGTTTGTATCCCATGTTTTTGTGGCACAAATTAGATCCTTACTGGATCAGATCACTGTAGATTTGTTTAATTAATTTATTAGCATATTTATCATTATTGTTTATATTTATGGTATATGATATTTTTATTTATTAGCGCTACACTAATTTAATTTCATTTGGGTGCAGAGTTGCATGACTGCACAATTGTCAGTTAAAGTAACGCAGCGCCTTGTCACAAAAACTGGCCTAGTCAGGAGGGGGATCCTCAGGAGGGGAAGTAATAAAGATGCCTCCCAGGTAGGACGATTGTTACATTGGTCCGGCTTGGTTCGATGTAGGTTTGTATGTTCCACACATAGGTAGCAGAGCATGTGGTATACTCATGCTGTAATGTTTGTGTTGGTTTGTGTCTGGGACCACGCATTCACTCCTGCACATATTGACATGGGGTTGCCTGCATGCAGTTTGGGTGGATGCAAGTGAAATAACAAAGGCAGCCTGCACACAGGACGGCTGTCAGCGCCCATCTCAGCAAAGCCTTAGGGCTCGTTCACACTAGCTGTGGTGCCTGGAGAGCGATCAGCGCTGAGATCACTGAGGAAAGGAAAGCCAATAATCGACTTTCCTGTGACAGGGACATTTACACTGATAGTCACCAATAAACAGATAATCAGTGCTGCCTAATCATTGCCCCCTCATTAGTGCCTCTTCATAGTGCAGCCTCTTCAGTGCCGCCTCATCAGTGTCACCTCATCAGTGCCACCTCATCATTGTCACCTCATCAGTGCAGCCTCATCAGTGCAGCCTATCAGTGCCGCCTCATCAGCACAGCCTATCAGTACCGCCTCATCAGAGCAGCCTATTAGTGGCGCCTCATCAGTGCAGCCTATCAGTGCCACCTCATCGGTGCAGGCTCTTCAATGCCACCTCATCAGTGCAGCCTATCAGTGCCGCCTCTTTAGTACAGCCTCATCAGTACTGCCTCTTCAGTGCCGCCTTATCAGTGCAGACTATCAGTGCTGCCTCATCAATGCAGACTATCAGTGCCAGCTCATCAGTGCCACCTCATCAGTGCAGACTATCAGTGCCACTTAATCAGTGCCGTCTCATCAGTGCAGACTATCCGTGCCACTTCATCAGTGCCATCTCATCAGTGCCGCCTCATCAGTGCAGCCTCTTCAGTGCCGCCTCTTCTGTGCTGCCTCATCAATGCAGATTATCAGTGTCACCTCATCAGTGCTATCAGTGCTACTTCATCAGTGCCCCTCATCAGTGCAGCCTCTTCGGTGCTGCCTCATCAGTGTAGCCTATCAGTCCTGCCTCATCAGTGCAGCCTCTTCAGTGCCACCTCATCAGTGCCACCTCATTAGTGCAGCCTCATCAGTGCTGCCTCTTCAGTGCAGACTATCAGTGCAGCCTCATCAGTGCAGACTATCAGTGCCGTCTCATCAATGCAGACCATCAGTGCCACCTCATCAGTGCAGCCTCATAAGTGCCACCTTATCAGTGCCGCCTCTTCAGCGCCGTCTTATCGGTGCAGCCTCATTAGTGAAGGCTCTTCAATCCCACCTCATCAGTGCAGCCTATCAGTGCAGCCTCATCAGCGCAGCCTATAAGTGCCGCCTCATTGGTGCCGTCTCATCTGTGCAGCCTCATCAGTGAAGGCTCTTCAATGCCACCTCATCAGTGCCGCCTCATTCGTGGAGACTAGCAGTGCCGCCTCATCAGTGCAGACTAACAGTGCCATTCAAAGTGCGCCAGCACTGAAAACTGTCCTGGGCAGGAAGGGGTGAAGTGCCCGGTCTTGAAGGTGTTAATCAAGTTTATTGAAGAAAATTTTTTCATTGGTTGGCTGGAGTAACGTGATCTATACCTCTGCTCCTTCCCCGACTACACAGAGCCAGCTTGGGCTGCGATCAGTATCTGCAAACCCTCCCTGACAACACAGACCAATGAGCGCAGCTATGGATGCTCAGTGGGGACTCTCCTGTGTGAAGGATGCTGTCACCATGACAACCAGGGAATACCCCGCCGCCATTGCAGATGATGGCGGAAGCCATTCAGTACCATGGCCGGGGTTCTGTACAGTGGGCGGGGAAGGGGACCCGTGACATCACAGCTCAGCTGCTCCGCTGCTGATCCAATTCCAAGATGGCTGCCGCTGGGAGCTGAGCTGCAGGTTGTGGGCAGAGAGCGAGTGTGATGGCAGCGGACCCCCCATGTGTGAGCCGGACATGAGGCTGTAGTGGGGGCCCCGGGGCCCAGGTAAGGAGGGGGCGGGGTATAAGAGGGGTGGTGGCTGTATAAAAACTTGTTCAGGTGATACAGGTAGACTCAGGCCTGGGGGGGAGGGGAGGTGTAATAGATCCTCCTATAGACAGTCCTGAGTCAGCCTGAGGAACTACAACCACCAACGTGGCATGGCAGATGATTGGCCAATGGCTGTGCTACTACAAGTCCCAGCATGGCCTGACAGCCAGGAGCGGGCT